AATAATTTTATGTACACATTTTAGAATTAGTCTAATTCAAATGAGAATCAGAAGGCTGAATCTCGACTGACAGAGGAGGAGTTGGGGATGGAGAGGGTAATTAGCTATTGAGCAATGCAAAAACTGCTGATAATACTGATGGACCTTATATATGAATGCTTAGATAGGTGTCGTATTCCCATAGGTAGATGGGGATCAGCTGAGAGTCAGTTGATGCAAGCTTGACTAACGTGACCTGCCAGAACTAACGCTATGCTTGATATTTGTATAGCGCATTTCTCACACACTTGTTGTTAATAATAAATGACACTATAAAAATATGGTAGGCTTATGATGCTGTTAACAAATGCAGCTTACATCTGTTAAACATCCAAGGCAATGTAGTAATGGCCAAATGTTGGCTAAATAGTTTATCTTATATCTGTTGGTCTAATTGTTTGTCTGTATTTGTTCAGAGTTACCTGTTCCAGTTGCTCCAGGGACTGGCCTTCTGTCACTCTCATCGTGTTCTTCACAGGGACCTTAAACCCCAGAATCTCCTAATCAACGCTCAGGGTGAGATCAAACTGGCTGACTTTGGTCTGGCCAGAGCGTTTGGTGTACCTGTGCGGACTTACACACATGAGGTGAGAGGCAGAAACATGGTTCTAGATTTCTAAAGGATATGTTTTGTGTATTTCTACCTTAAATAAGATGAAATCATCAAAAGTGTAACACTGTGTCCTAACCAGGCACGATAAGATTCAGCGACAAGCAATTTATCTGTCCACAGCAGATGCGACACAGCTACAAGACGCAAAAAAAATTAAAATTAAATTCACAACCAATCAGAAGAGCGAATGGGCGGGCTCTTTTTGCAAGAACACTGCACTTGCAACTAAATGGTTAAGGACATAATCTAATTCATAAATATTAGATTATTTTAAAATGATTGAAAATACATACTGAGTGACTGATACAATCTTTGGAATACACTGTTGGTTCACATTGAGTTTACAGTTTTAATATTTCCTTTCATTCTTTTTTTCAAGATCTGAGATAAATTATCCATTGCCGCTTTTCATAATGCTATTAATGCTATACAAAATGATATTCATGGTTTTCATCATCAGAAGTGTCCATGGTGCTCCATGTACAACAGCTACAACAGCACATGAATGTTGAGACAGAGCGAGTCAAATAGGTGATACTGTGCATGTGTCGAGCTCCTCAGTCCGCGTTCATCCACAGTTGAGTATACTTTAAAAGCTGTGCAGACGCGGCTGTGCGCGAGACAGAACGCGGAAAGTGAAGTATTCCTGTGCCTATGGAGCAATGCGGATGTCAGATGATTAAAACATTCAATTTAGTTATTAATACATTATTTTAATTTGATTGTAATATTTATTATTCAAATTATTTTGGATTTTGTTGCTGTTTTTGTATGCTTCGTTTAGCTTGTGTAAAACATCTAGCCTATAATTCGTTTTTTGCACAATAAAATCTTTACTGTTTAAATTGTGTTCATTGAAGGTGGGGGGCGGTCACGTTGCCGGCTCAACATCGTGATGTCAGTCAGCCATCAGCGATTGCACTTGCAACTAAATGGTCTATTGGCCCAACCCTAGTTGTCACTGCATAATATTCCACTTCTAATAGCACTGTTTCAACATGTGCCTTACATTTCTCGTACAGCTCTGCTATGGCAAGTTGAGAAATTGTTGTGTGATGGCATTACATACTGCTTTTCAAGCGAGTGGATCATGTTTTTTTTTTTGCTTTGGACTGCATTTAGATCATACAAAGATTTGTGGTGACTGACAGAAAACAAAAATAATGACTTTATTCCACATTTTCGTCTCTACTTGTGGACGCGCGTTCACGACAGTATCATGACGTGAGCGTGTGGTTGAACAAAACCTGCCTTGAATTGTCCCTCATTCAGAAAGCAGTCTGGACTAAAATGATTTGCGCAGACATAAACAAATGTAGGTGTATAATGTGGCGCATTAACACCAAAAACAAAACAAATCCACTGCATCCTCAGTAGCTATGTCGGGAGAAAATTAAGACTTATGGGACTTACTCTGTTACATCAAACTACAAAACATCTGCTTTGCTTACGAGTCATTGTTGTCGCTACAGCTGCTCGGGCGCAGAGAAAATGGCAGACAGCACCTGTGCGGACTTACACACATGAGGTGAGAGGCAGAAACATGGTTCTAGATTTCTAAAGGATATGTTTTGTGTATTTCTACCTTAAATAAGATGAAATCATCAAAAGTGTAACACTGTGTCCTAACCAGGCACGATAAGATTCAGCGACAAGCAATTTATCTGTCCACAGCAGATGCGACACAGCTACAAGACGCAAAAAAAATTAAAATTAAATTCACAACCAATCAGAAGAGCGAATGGGCGGGCTCTTTTTGCAAGAACACTGCACTTGCAACTAAATGGTTAAGGACATAATCTAATTCATAAATATTAGATTATTTTAAAATGATTGAAAATACATACTGAGTGACTGATACAATCTTTGGAATACACTGTTGGTTCACATTGAGTTTACAGTTTTAATATTTCCTTTCATTCTTTTTTTCAAGATCTGAGATAAATTATCCATTGCCGCTTTTCATAATGCTATAAAGGTCATGCAAAATGATATTCATGGTTTTCATCATCAGAAGTGTCCATGGTGCTCCATGTACAACAGCACAGGCGCAAGATGAATGTTGAGACAGAGCGAGTCAAATAGGTGATACTGTGCATGTGTCGAGCTCCTCAGTCCGCGTTCATCCACAGTTGAGTATACTTTAAAAGCTGTGCAGACGCGGCTGTGCGCGAGACAGAACGCGGAAAGTGAAGTATTCCTGTGCCTATGGAGCAATGCGGATGTCAGATGATTAAAACATTCAATTTAGTTATTAATACATTATTTTAATTTGATTGTAATATTTATTATTCAAATTATTTTGGATTTTGTTGCTGTTTTTGTATGCTTCGTTTAGCTTGTGTAAAACATCTAGCCTATAATTCGTTTTTTGCACAATAAAATCTTTACTGTTTAAATTGTGTTCATTGAAGGGGGGGGGGCGGTCACGTTGCCGGCTCAACATCGTGATGTCAGTCAGCCATCAGCGATTGCACTTGCAACTAAATGGTCTATTGGCCCAACCCTAGTTGTCACTGCATAATATTCCACTTCTAATAGCACTGTTTCAACATGTGCCTTACATTTCTCGTACAGCTCTGCTATGGCAAGTTGAGAAATTGTTGTGTGATGGCATTACATACTGCTTTTCAAGCGAGTGGATCATGTTTTTTTTTTTGCTTTGGACTGCATTTAGATCATACAAAGATTTGTGGTGACTGACAGAAAACAAAAATAATGACTTTATTCCACATTTTCGTCTCTACTTGTGGACGCGCGTTCACGACAGTATCATGACGTGAGCGTGTGGTTGAACAAAACCTGCCTTGAATTGTCCCTCATTCAGAAAGCAGTCTGGACTAAAATGATTTGCGCAGACATAAACAAATGTAGGTGTATAATGTGGCGCATTAACACCAAAAACAAAACAAATCCACTGCATCCTCAGTAGCTATGTCGGGAGAAAATTAAGACTTATGGGACTTACTCTGTTACATCAAACTACAAAACATCTGCTTTGCTTACGAGTCATTGTTGTCGCTACAGCTGCTCGGGCGCAGAGAAAATGGCAGACAGCGTACATCTGGCTGAAGGCGGAAATATGCTAATACGTGACAGTTCGTCAGTGGGTGTGGGCGGGGCCTGAGCACGGCTTGATAATTAAGACTTTACATTTTTAGGGGATTAAAATAAAGGAGTAAATGGATTTTTATCATTAAAGGGTGGTTGTATCTACACACTGGATACAAGAATACATTGTATGTGGCCAAAATTTAATGGATTTAAACATCGTTTAATCACGCTGTAAAGTGAAACGTCACCAGGCCATTGGCGCCCTCTGCAGGTATTTGTTTTAATACATAATGTACTTAAGTTGGTTATGTTCATATTATGTATAGGCATATTACATTATGTATTTTAACAGTGTTGTTCAATACAATCATGTAATTTCTTGTTTTTGATATTTTATTTGAGCCAATTATTAATGCCTCATCGTTAGTTTATATATAAATAGTCATACTAAAGCCTGGTTTTCACTTAGGTCTGTTTGATACTAAAAAATATCAGATTACTCAGTTGTCAAAATAATCAGTAGTTACAGCCCTAGATTAGTTAAAATATTTCTTAATACAACTGCATTGTTTTACTTTTTGTAATTAAAAGACAAATATTTTGTCATTGAAAATTTCTTAAAAATTGTTTTAAAATATTGTCTTGTTCTAGTAAGTGTATTGTCACACCCCTAGTGTCGATAAGCGGTGATGTAGCTCAAAATTTTCCAAGTGTATGATACAGCTTTCATTCTTCAGGTCAACCAATACATTCATGAAAAAAAATCAGTTTGAATAAAGAAAGCAATAACTTTGCCATAGTATCCTTTCAAATGTTAAAGTTGCCACAGTCATTGCATGCTTTGCATGTGGTGCCCCGCCCCCGGAAAAAAATTCAGGCTCAGGATTTTTTTTTGCTTTAACCCCTGTGTATGTATATTCAAGAAATATATGTAATATATAATTATATTTATATATAATATAAATCATATATAAATATTAATGTATATTTACATGTAAATGTTTCTTACATATATACATGTGTGTGTATATTTATACATATAAATATACAAAGTACCCACACATTTTATGCAAACACAAACGTTTATTTTGGATTCGATTAATCACGAATCCTAATATATATATTTCCCCTGGGAGAAGTGCCGCAACACCTAGAGCAGGGAGCATCAATAGAGCATCAATTCCTGGAGGGTCAGAGCCCAACCCTAATTAAACACACCTGATCCAACAAATCAAGTCCTTCAGGTTATTTGAAAACTACATGGTATGCGTGTTGGAGCAGGGTTGGAACAAAACTCTGCAGGGCTCCGGTCCTCCAAGAATTGAGTTTGACACCCAATTGCGGAAACATGTCGAAAAGGTTAACTTTAACCACGAAACCAGATCGGCCGACCTGTAACGTTACACTCTCCCTCAAAGGATGGACGATCTGACAGGATTGTTACTATGAGGTGGATCACATCTAACGTGTATAGTAAAGTATTGAGATGGTTTTTGGTACTTATACCGCAAATATATATTCTTAAGGACATCAAAACCTAAAATAAAACTCCAGAAAGGTGTACAATATGGGACCTTTAATTCGATGGGTAATGCTGGAAGCACATCCTAACGAATCTGTGCACACCGTGGTCCATTTGAACAACAGTTGTTCTAGCTGTCGTTTTTGACTTCATGAAACCTCAGCTGCATCAACCAGTTCTTTTATCATTGTTTGGTTAGCGTCACTCATCTGCATAGATGGAAGCGCTACGTGCAGTCTAGTAGTGGAAGATAATACATCTGCAAGTTTAAAACCAGCGGGAGCAGTGAAATAATGTGACTCCTCCTCTTCAGGGAATACATAGGATGCGGCATCAAAATCCAACTTCATGCCAGAAATAGTCAGAAACTCAAGTCCGATAATAAGAGGAAAGGTCAAATCATGATTCCTCATCACAAATACCCTGAACGGATAAACTTGGTTGTGTACTACACATTGTAGAGAAAATTTTTCTAATGCGTGCTGTATATGACCGTTGGCAAGAGAAAATGT